AGCACCATACATTTGCCCACATTGAATCGAAGTAGATTCTGGACAACACAGCTTAGCGTTTAAACACCGAAAACCATACTTATGGTGAAATGCAGTTCTGAGGACAAGAGCGCCGGGTATGCTTGAGAACGACTTCACGACATGCTGGTGCAGCGCCCAGATCTACTATGAAAAATACATTCATCGGGGTAGCCGAACAACCTCTTCGTGGTGTCAGCTGGTCGGTTCGGGTTAACCCACTTCCAGCAAATAATTCGGCGGCATTGTTTCAGAACATGGTGGGTTTTCGCCTGACAAGCTTTCTTTCTATAAAACGCCACAAATGTCCGTTTAACAAAACTGTGACGTGGCGGATGGGACTCGCCGCTAACTAGAGTCACTGCCTCTTACGTATCTGGATGATCTTACCCAATCCACAGATGCGGGTTATCCAACACGAAGATTTCCTTTCTCTTCTTCTTACGCCTGACCGAAAACAATCACAAATACGGCGTCACATTCACAAATTCAAGCAACACAACAACACTCGTTCTTACCTACATGCATTCATGCACACTTAACACATGGATCCATATGTTACTTATAAACTTGTGTCGCTTTTACATTAACCAGTCTTTGTTTTATCACCATGATCAGGCGTGTCTCGCACTGTCGAGAATAAAACATTTCTTTCTTTATTTCAGTATTGCTCGATAACTGTGGTCCCAGATAATATTATGCCAAGCAGCACATCAACTTTTAATCGGAAACACTTGTACCGACATGTTACTTTGGCTCCTGTGCTCATGAAACCATGGATTACAACATGGCGAAATCACGCCGAACGTTGGCTATTGCCACCATTGTAGTAACCTTGATTTTTCGCGAACCAGCGCCATAATGTTCCTGGATCCCACTATTATCCGACGAACTTCTCAAGGGTACAAAGTACGAAAATGTTGGTTTTAATTTATTTTAACAACAAGTTGTACTGTTCCAAAGCAGCTATGCTTGTAGGTATATTTGATCATGCCTTCACTTGGTTGCCTCCTTCTATCGAGAATATACTATTTATTTATTCATTTATATCTTCAGTAGCGCAGCCATTGTACTGACTAATAACGTAAGTACCTTTTGTTATTGCATTGAAGCAATAAATGTAGATATTTATTTTTTCAATTTGTTGTACGGTCAGCATATGCAGAAACAAACGGGGGTAGGTTAAGTGTCCCGGTTTGGCGCGCAAGAAATCTGGAAGCGCCTCGCTTTGGCTCACGAATAATCTGGCCACCTTACATGCATTGTACCTAACACGTGCGTCGCCACCGCTGAATCTCACAGTAGAGCATTATACTTAGACGTCGCCATGACTTGCGTCTCAGGTGTTCTAGCAGTGTTGTGTGCAGTTTGCTCGCGGTATGTCCTATACACACATATTCACAGTTGTTGCGAATACGTTTGTCAACGCAGTTAGTCATCTTACCTACGAGAAGTGTGTCTTTCAGATACACCACTATTGAACGGATCCCGAATCTTATTCCTTGGTTAGTGCCGTCGGAAAGGAAAAGGAACTTCCCTCTACCCATAATATTCTTATCGTTCTAATCCATTCCGTCGTATATTTTCAATGTGGTTTTAGAATATTGTGAAACGGGTGTTTCACTAACGGTTTCGGGCGTCCACTATTCAGCAATTACATTACTGTCTACTTGCAAGCCGCGTTCCCAACTTCCTTCTCTGTGCACATGGCCTTATCTGTGAAACACAGAGACCGGAATTGTAGTGCTGTGTCCCATCTGTGTCTGCCGGTTGACGAAATATCGGTTTGGAAGCTAGTCATTCTTGCAAACAGAGCAGTCAAGGAATGGCGATGTGCAACTCCATGGTGAGCGATTTCAGATTCCTCAAAAACTAGCTTTTCTTATCCAGTTTTATGTTCAAAATGTGCCATCCACTTGATACCAACAACTTTTGGCCATTTACTGGAGTTTGCCAGTATTATGTACAAAATAGTGGACATTGACGATCTAATGATAACACCATGTTCTTGAGTGCCTACTTCCGACTGAAACCCGAGCTAAAACAATATACGGCGAAATGTCGGTTGTTTCAACCACCTTAAGCTTCGGCCACTCCCTAGGTTAATCTCTTCAGTCAAACAGCGTTTCACCATACCCAGTGCGTCGCATTTTGGCACCTTGGTGAGGAGTGCGCTAATGTTAACATAGATCGTCGTTTCATCTTCGTTTCACACGAACTCATGACGCTTCTTTACAAACGTATTCGTTCACCATGTCAACGACTGCAATATACTAACGATTGCCATATAGACCAGTAGATGCAAGCTGTTGCCAACCCGGTAACGTTATCACAATTTACGCGGTACCCTTCCGCAAAGCTCACTGCAGTACATCATGCGTTGCTGTGCAGATGCTGATGCTAACCTCATCATTAAGGCCGATCAACTGCAGTTAACAGGTAATTCGGCCACACCCACCGATTACTAACGCATTGTTCCATGATAGCGCGTAGTGAAACACCGCACGCATTATTTCACCTAGGCAATATTATCCACAATCGATCCCATGTAGACACCGCTGAGCATAGGTCAAACCAGGTGAGGTTGACGGACCTGTCTGCTAGCTTGCATGCAGCTACCTTCAGTGAAGGCAGTCGATACTGTCTCATTGTGGAGCACATTTCACGTCTGGTTGTCTGCGCGCAACAGTGAGCACTGTGAACACGGATGGAATATCTCCGGCCCCCCAGTTCTGTGTTGATGCCGCACAAGTGCCTGGGTGGGAGTTACAGCACTTCCTCAACCATGCATAGATGCCGCGTGCTAGTCCGCACTGCATCCTACAGTGGCTGAGCTCACGTGTTGTTTTCACGTCCGCGTGTGCATCACGTGGTTTGTTGGCTGAGCGCAGTCTAACCGCTGCACCAACCGATGCAGATGTTCTGAGTACTCGTGCACTGATTTGCAATTGGTCAAGACGATGGGCACGCATTTGTGCGTGTGCGCCACTTTAGATTCAACTTGATGTGCTCGTGGACTCAGTTGAATATGCTTAAGGACCAACTTGATTCCGTTATGGTTTCAATTGACTCGTAAAATGTGTAGAGTAGTTCCATCATTTGACATGCGCTTCGCACCTTCAAAATTGCAAAGTGCTGTTACTGGACCACCAGCCACTTGATACCCCCTTGACACTTGATGGCGAGAAAATGGAGACAGTTGATCAATTCACTTATCTTGGCAGTCGTATTAGCAACCATGGGCGCATATCAACTGAAGTCAATTCAAGCATGGCAAAGCCGGAACTGACTTTTTGTATCTGCGGCGTGTGGCATCAGTACCTGGTTTTTCTCTGTCTTAAAGACCGTGTTTACAAGGTCACCGTAAGGACCGTCCTATTCCATGGGAGCAAGACCGCCATTTCGAGCTAAGGACTTGTGGTGCCTTCAGTAATTCTATCGCCGTTGTCTGCGAAGCAATGCTGGTGTCGGATGGCACCAGCACGTCCGCAACGATGATGTGCGTAAGCGAGTACCAGGCAATGAAAGCTGACCCCTTAGATCAGCTGACAGAAAGAGGCTAGTTAAGTTCGACCACCAGTGCCTTCGTAGTTTGGCTCACATCTGGTGGGAACACCAAATGAGCAACGAGCGTGTTCGACGCTTTGTTTATGGCACAGGAAAAGGGACGGAACCGCTCAGCACCGTCATCACACACACCAAGCTCCGATGATTTGGCCACGTGTTACGCATGGCAGCCCACCGGCTCCCGCGAAGTGAGGTGTTTGTGCGCCGGTAGTGGGGGTGGAAAAAAAGGAGAGGTCAGGCAATGACTTGGTCTAAAAAATGAAGGCCCTCACTTCGAAGCTGGACTTGGTTGGAGCATCTCGGCTCCCTGAATGGGGTCCGAAAGACGATGAGCACCTTTGGCTGGATACATTTGCAGCCATGGCTAGGATCCGACTTCAATGGCGTTCGTGCTGTGAGCTCCTTTGTCCCTCCCCATCCCTCCTAACTTCTCCCTCCAACCACGATCTTGAGATCGTGGTTGGAGCGACATATTTTTGCATAATAATGTTATTTGCTGCATAGTAGCTGGCAGCTTTTCGGAACGATGCCCATCCGTTACTGGTAGCTCAGCTAGCATGCACCTGTTGTATGTTTTCTCTTCTTATGTATTGCAGCACAGTAGCAGGTGTTTTGCACCTCTAGCTAACGTATATAATGATGAGTGACAACCCGGCTATTTTCTGAGAATAACAGATAGCACTGAATAAGTTGCGTTGGCTTGGGCACGTACTACGTATGCCCGGTTCCGGCTTACCAAGCAGGGCCTTGTTTTGGTTACCAGATGTAGGGTGGCGCAAGTACGAGATGGAGAAACGAAGCAACTGACGACCCAACTTGGTGCCGTCGGTTCGTCTCGCCTTTCAGACTGGAGTCCACGTGACCCGCCTTGTGTTTGGCTCGAGACGTTACAGGACATGGCCCGTAGTCAGCACCAGTGGCGCGTCTACCGCTGTCTCCTAAACAAATTGCCTGTTTGAAGTGTGTTTCGTGCTGTTATCTGCGGGGTAATAGCTGATTATGACGCGGGGCAGTGAAAGACGCGAGAAATCTGCCTCGCACGATAGCCATCCGTTTGTGACAGTGTGTTGTTGACAAAGCGTAGGCGCCTTGACCCCGAGTGTTTGTTTAGGGCGCTAAGGTTTTACCGTAGGCTCCCTTCTCTCTCTCTTACTGTTCTTCGTTCCATAGGTCACCATGGTTGTACGGCAGCGAAGCATCAGTTCCAGTGGCTGATGTACTACTGTTGATGATGATAGTGATGAATGTATTAAACAATGAACACCGCCAATGTGAAATGGCAAGTCACACCAGGGACGTAAAGTTTCAACGGAAAAATGAGGTGACCGAGTGTTAATACCATGGAAATCATCAAGATGGAAAGTAAAGGAAACAGCGTAGGTGCATTAGCATTAAGCGGAGCGAGAATTGCTTACCGACGGTTTCGGGCGGTGCGTATCAACTGCAGGCACTTGGAGATGCACTTGCTCGACAATGCAACGATAAGCGATGGGTGTCAGTTTGAACACCGCGTGCAGTGGCACTTTTAGGTAGGGTAGTTGCTCTATCATAAAATGAAGGAGTATAAGAGGGACGATCAATGGAAAGAGCCAATTAGTACTTATCCGACAATGAATTAGGAGGAATAAACATAACACATGTGTGTTTATGTGTATGTGCAGAAGACTCGACGGTACCAATGTGATATGAACAAAGGCAAGACTAAACAGAAGAATGTGGCGCGCGTTTCGACATCCGGATGAAAAACAGGCGGAGAACAAGGAGATCCTTGTCGAAACGTGCAATGCTTGGAAGATACATGTGCAATGCGTTTGAAACGTTGCACTGTTGAACCACCAGGTGGTGAGAAGAAGCGTTTCAGGGTAACTAATTGCTGGCTATCCGATGCCAGAACGAGCAACATCGTGACGATGTGTTAAACAAAACTTCAAAAAGAGTTCATAATGCATAGCAATCTCAGTCAAACCGATAATTAATGGTAGACGACATTCGAAAATGTTTTAATGAGTAGGCTGGAGGTGTGCAGTAAAGCACAGGAGCGATCGTAACAGAGTGCCGGAAATTGTATAACAACTGCCTCAACTCAGTAGCATGATCCAAAACGACAAGAGCACACAGCTGTCATACAATCATAGACTCAGATGATCCATAGGTTATCGAGGTCGAATGATCACCAATAGTAGTCAATGATGTGAAGGAACGTCCGAATCGGTGGGACTGATTCTATGTGCACTCTTATTCCATGAATACCTCAGGTAGTCAGATTAAGAGACGACGATAAACACATAGTTGCGCTTCGATTCAAGTACAGTGTGGACCAAGCGGACATCAGTCGAATGGACTAACGGTACTTAACTCAGTGGCCATGGAGCTAAGCTCACGCTGCCAGGCTAATGATTGTCCCCTTGAACTCTATACCGCCAAACATCCGGTAAAAAGACAACGCTATTTCAGTAAACGATGTGCAGGCATATTTGGCGCGTGCCCGAGTCAACGCAATTTTTAAGTATTAGTTGGACCAAGGAATCATCTTAGTACTCGCATGCGCACCTATCTCATCGCTGTGGAGACGCTGATGCCGTCCGTAAGGAGTCATGATCCAAAACTTCAGGTCTCCAGGTCAGAGTTGTCTAACTTCAAAAGAGAAGAAGGGCTCTCACCTTAGTCCAACAAACTCAGTGAACAGGAAGGCAGTCCTAGCTTTCGCAACACATAAACTATACATACCTTGTGGGAAGGCGTCTTAAATGATCGAGGGATAGGTAAATGGTGGGTAGTCCTGAAACGAAACACTGCACCCTGGAAGGCGGAAAACTCATGCGAAGAAATGAGACCACTCTAAAAAGTATATTCAGCTCGATTTGCGCCACGGTGCAATTGCTACACAATAATACGATATCGAGGAAGCAGGACAGCCGCGATGGAAGCTGCTTTTTACGACAATTCATTGTAGAACTTGACTCGATTTGAGATTTCCGAGTGAAGGATACGTGTGAGGCTGACACGTTCCACGAGTACGCCTGTCCGCGTACTCACCTCGAGACTGACTAAATCAGTGTGCGCGTGATGCATCGGAACACAACCATAGTCGGTCCATCGTTTGCGTGACGCTGCAAGTCAGATATAATCTGTGCAGCTCCGTCTGAGTCTAGAACCGGTAGGCGCTTCTAATATAAGGGACTTTCTTCTGGTCAGCTCTAATATAGATTCAGTGTAACTCAAGCCACAGTGATAGCCCAGTGCCACATGTTTCCACATCTTATTAAAAAAACCGAAAGACTCGCTAACCTACAGGGGTAACATTATGGAAGGAAAGCAAAATGGGGATAATTCCTCAACTACCGTGATCTTTGTCTTCGAAATAGGCCAACAAGCAACGAGCCACAGCTTGATGGCAAATGACCAAAACGGATGTCTGCCGCTCCAGTTCCATCATCACGGGCTCCAGCCGTCCTACGAGATCTTGATATGACTGAAAAGAAGATACGAGGAGTGCGGATGGTGATGTTGAAAGCGAGTGGACAGTATGCAACATGTGGACTTGGAGAACAAGGAGAATATGGAAATAAAATAAGCCGCAGGGAGGAGGGTGAAAAGATGAATCCAAGGAAATATGCCAAGTAAAAGCAACAAAGTGAAAGAGAAAACAGATGGATATTTTAAAATCATATGCAAAAGGTATAAATGGTAATCAGACACGAAGTATAACGCACCCGCAAGCAAGGGCGATAGTCCGTCCGGTTAAAAATAACAAGGAAGTGGTAAACAGATGAAAACTGTTATCAATTGCATATGTAAATGGATGGCGCATGGAGTAAATGGGTGAAAAGTTAATGAACAATACTGAAATATTATCCGGTGTAGACGATTAATAAATTGACACCTTGAAAAAATTTCGCATCGAAAGATCTGCATTGGCGTATGAAGAAAACGCAGTGTGAATAACGTATGGGCTTGTTTGAAACACAGGCAAAATATCGAATACTGGATGAAAGCAGTAAGAGGTGTCTCTGTGTAGCTGCATCCAAAATCCTTAAGGTGAAATGTTGGAGAGCATCCGCGATATTTCACATTCGCAGTTTGTACAGGAATTTTTTGAATTCCAACACCGAAGTTGTTTTGAATGCTTGCAGCTGCAAGTTGTTCTATATATTTACCACTCTCCGTTCGAAGCGGAGGTGGAGAGTGTCCCGCTTCAAATCCGGTACGACAAGCTTGTACCGGTGTCCTTGTGTGCTGCTTGGTGTGCGCATATGTAGCAGAAGCTACAACATGGGGTGTAATCACCAGGATGTAATAACCGGTGCGTCATGATGAGATCAAGCTGAGGTCAACAAGTCCTAGCTTCTTGCATCGGTCTTCGTACGGCACACCTCGTAAAGTGGGGATGAGCGTAGTGGCAACACATTGTACCCGCGCAATCCTTTGTCAATCACTTCGGATCAAGTGCGCCCGGACGCCTAAAGCATACGTAGCAGGTTTTTGTAAAGCCTATTTAGCATTGTCGACGGATTTTAGGCCGCAACGTGAGAGTACAAGAGGTCTTTCACAAAAGGCGTGAAATCTAACGGTTGACCGGCCGCAGTTTGGTTTTACCCAAGCTTATGAATAGCAACGTGACTGAGTTTATCGGGAGGTTGACTTCTGCAGACCACATGGAGAGGCGGTCAAGGTCCCCGCTATAGCAGAATACAGTCATTGGGTGCGCTGATAACTCTGCATACGTTCAAGTCATCCGTAAACAACGCACAAGGCGAATGGATAAGCTGACGCACTACCTTTATATGGATCAGAAACGAAATGGGCTCTAGTTCAGTACCTTGGGATACGCCACTGGTCGATACCAGTCGGTCAGAAGATTGTCGAGCTGGACCCTCCACTTTCGACCAACAAAAAAATTTCTGATTCACTGTTGCAGAGCCATCAACAGCGCACAACCTCAGCCTGTGGAGCAAGACCCCATGATCCACGTTGTCGAAGGTCGTACTGAGATCAATGCAAATGATATCAACCGGCTTCCCCGGGTGCAGCGCCCCTCGTCAAGAGCAGGTTGGTGATGCATGAGCAACCTTTCATGAAACCATGCTATGGTGGGGTCAAGAGCGTTTTCAACTCCAGAAGCTGCAGAAGATCTTTCTTCACGATCACAAGTGTCCTCGCAAAAACAACAGTTAGGCAGAGCGGTCGGTAGTTGTTCACTTTGCTTGGATCACCGCCTTACGGCGTTGGCTTTAAGACTGAATAGTGAAACAGCGAATAGCGATCTGTCGAAAAGTTCAGTGGGTGGATTCCGTCAGGCGTAACAAGACTGACCAACAGGCTGTGTACATCTTCAATGTTAAAAGCCAGGCTACCTAGTTCGGTAGGTGCAGTACCTGCCAAAGTCGATACAAACGTTTGGTCACTTGCAGATATGGGAGCGAAGTGTGCCGCCAATGCGGACGCATGATCAGTGGAAAGAAAAGCCAACACGTATGTTGACTGAAACTTTGAGTTTTGAAAAAACGACCAGTTTCGTACGCGTTTGCACTCATCAAGTAAATATAGAAACACTACGACTGGAACGCTTTAATCCTATGAATCAGTTAACGGACGGAACAGTTGTCAAATTGGAGCTGATTCGCTGAACACAAGTGAGAACAGCAGTTCCCAGGCAGAGAGGAGCTCTACATCACCCGTGTAACCAATCCGTTGGGAACTTCATAAATGATCAGACTTCGAATCAATCGGCGCTTATTCATGTTAGAATATATGATCCAAACACAACCTGAGCCAATTAAAACCGAATTCAGAGAAACGATAGCGAAGGACATAGTCGAAGTAAAACAGTTAGCACCTAAGCGAAGGTTATAAAGAGATCATAAAAAGTAACAGTGCACCGCTACTGATAATGACAATGATGTAACGGAAATGCAGACAATATTCCGTCCGATCAGACCGGCCGAGCAAGCAGACAAGCTGTTAACTTAGAACATTTGAGTATACTTCTATGTGGGCATCATAATCTAAACAAGAATATCGCTGTATTATTGACAGAGATAATGGAGTAGAAAAATGAGGCGTACTTCGAAAGTCTTCGTGTGTACGTTTTAAGGTTGATATTACCAAAAAGTGTTGCCTCGAAGTGGAATGCATACAGTGGACTGAATACTTTGCTGAGACACCTGAGGTGGCTCGGGCATATTCGCCGCATGGATTCGACGCTGATACCGAAGCAGCTGTTATATTATCAGCTGAGTGTTGGAAAGCGGCATGTGGGGTAACCAAAGCTTAGTTATCAAGACTTTATTCGATATATATATATATATATATATATATGTGTGTGTGTGTTATTTGTTATTGTCATTTCGGGTGATTGGCTGCTGTTTGACATCCCCGGTGTGGCTGCGTTTGATGTGGACAAGGTGCACGCCTGTCTAGTACACACTGTCTAGTCTATATTGGCTCCAGGAGACACTTGGTAGTTGCTGCAGAGGATGAGGTGCCCGGTCCTCGTGGCCATGCTTGGCTCGAAAAGTGGTTCCGTCCATTGTGGAGCGGACTACAACCCAGCCACCGCCTTGTGTGCGTTTTCTTCCCCAAATACAATGTGCTTGTGTTTACCTGTGAAGGAGTGTGGATCGGCTCCGTATAGGAAACATGGCTCCTATCCACATGTCTCCTGATCCTATGCCTTCGGGTTTACACTGGATATGAAGAGTGTGGATGAAGCTGTGGGTGGTGAAGCGCAAACCATCCATGGTCCCTCTGTAGGCGCAGAGGTTGCCCTATAGAGACCACAGTGACAGGCAAATTCGGAACCAGATGCCGCCAAGGATTGCCAATACCTTATCTCCAAAATGGAGCGCACGAATCGAAATGGGCAATAGTAAACCAACGGTATCGAGACGACTAAGTAGACGAAACAACCGGTGGAACACGAGCATGTGGAGACAATAGATTGTTTGACCGAAAGAGAGTAAATTGGGTTCGGCATGCTCGAAGTAAGCGTGATTGATGAGTTCCACGAGAAGTATCATCGACTATTGGCTTGCACGTAGCAGCAATAATATCAGTCAAGGTCGAAGCGATACATATCACTGGAGGATGATGCGGATATTCAGTGCATGAACATGGAGACATGAAAAAAGGTTAAATTAAGTGGCAGGGAGAGGGGGAAATGCAGGGGAGATTTGGTCGTTAGGTAAATAGACAAGAGATTTGAACCGCGACGTTAGAAAGTCGCTATCATCACCATTAATAGTAGTACATCAGTTATTTGAACCGACGCTTCGCTGTCGCACAACCACAGTGAACTACTGAATGAAGAAGGATAAGGTGGAGAGAAAGGACTTGGAGTAAAATTTTACTACACTAAGAAACATGCAGGGCCGAGTTGCCTACACCTTCTCAACAATATATGGTCATGAACAGCTGGCTATGGTGCGAAGAAAAGGTGGCACCGATAAGACATCCTCTTTGTGGCTTTCACTGTCATGCATCATAATCGGCCATAACCCGTAGATAATTCAGCACCAAATATACTTCAAACAGGTCCGCCAAGGAGCGACAGTAGACGAACCACTCGTGCCAACTGCGATCTATGTCCTGTAAGGTCTCGAGGTAAGTACAAGGCGAGTCGCGTGGAATGCAGCCTGAAGGGGGAGACATACCAATAACAGTGTTCAATCGCCACTCAAAGACTAAGTAGGAAGATATGCCGAGAGCATGACGAAGTGTCAGTGTGTTCCTAGTTTATCGTTGTGGTTGACGGGTTGGACTACCGCTGTGTGGTTGGATTGCGACACGCAATAAATATTAAGACCTCGGCCATTCCGATCACAGGGACCGCATCTAAAATAGAGGTGATACGGCGCTGCTACTCCCAACATTGTCAGTGTTGGGAGGAGCAACATCGAATCACATCTAAGCCGGAACAAACATGATACGTTTCGTTTCAGAAAACTTGGTAAACGACCGGTTAATGTATTTATGATGATACACAACGTTTCGCATTTGACACAAATGCTTCATCAGGCGAGTTTCGAGTTGCTGAGAAGACGGTGTGTATTTGCCGACGCAAACTCCCGGAAACAATATGGAAGCGAGGCATACATATGATGAAATTCCTGGAGCATGAGGTTCTCTTAGGTAGTAGAGGAAACGACTGACCCGACACCTTAATTGACTTAGCAGTGGTGCAATTCAAGATTAGGTGCCAGCAAAAGCAAAAAAATAGTTACGAGAACTCTCTTCATTCGCTAAAGGCGAATGCTACAGAACCGACTGTACCACCAACCTTCGCCGACATGGCTGACGATTTTCTTCCCGTAGCGCTTGCTAGCGTAGACGTGGCGCACCTCAACAATCCACTTGGGTTCTAGATATTCACAGACTCGAATGTTTTTGACGTCCACTAACAGCAAACAAGCCTGTGACCAAAAAACTGCAAATCGTTTAGCGCTGGGCCGCTTCACGTAACTCATGTCACTTGTCTAACTTAGCATGTGCAAAATTGTGAGGCGGGTTACTGTTGTCGAACAGTAGACAAACGAAGTTTGTAGCTGCAGATAATTAGGACATTCTAAACAACAATTGATCTCCGAACTAGTGACTGTGATGAGCTGCTTGTAGATTTATCCTACCATCAAAGAACAGGTTCAGTGAAGTTGTACTGTGTGAGATAGACATAAGATAAAGGCTAAGGCGAGTAAAGACTAAAAAGGCTTATCTAGTAAGCAAAAAGTAAGAAACTATTGTTATCAAGATCAAGAGAAACGGGTCGGATTTTTGGAAAAATTTCCCTGGAAAGCCTCATCAATGTCATAAAAAGTAAAGGAAGGCACCTATAAGCATGGGAATATAAGCAAAAGCAACAAATACACAAACCAACTGTTACGAAACTATTTTAAATAATGACTCTTCGGTCGGTTACAGATATAATCTACAATTGCAAAAACCATTCTTATATCTGAAAATGGATAAAATTATTGATATCCCGCAATGCGACCAAAAACTGTTCGGGGAGCTGCTGAGTTATGGGACTGAACTTGGCATTACTGTTGATCGGAACAGGCAATGTAGTAAATCCTCTTCCTACGCAGCGTGAAATAGTTTCTGTAGCAAACAAGATGAGGTGAACAAACAGCGGTTGCTCGAGGCTGGGCTGGAAGGTGGATAATTAATGATGCGAGCGAACATGAGATGAAAGACGGACTAAATGCCCCTGCCATTATGTCGACAAATTGGTTTCTAGTATTTCCGCGATTTTGCAAACCAGTAACCTTAAAGGGTGGTAAACGTATCTGAAGCAGTAAATATTCAGCTGTAAAAAAATAAAGAAAAAAGGCATCAGCATAACGCCAGGACATCATGGCGATGCTTCGTCGCCACACGAACACCACCAGTCGCATGCGGTCAAGAGATACTGCGAGGCAACCTGCAAACATATGCAGGATCAAATCAACAACCCAGGGAGTACAAGCCTTATGCATTGGTTTATCGGCCGATACAGATCCAAGAAATTGATCAAAGCAGATATTCATCATTATCAACGTCATCAACATCAGCAACGTCAGCAGCAGCAATACACGTTAGTCGAGGGTGAGAAACACACCACAGCTAATGTGCCGCAATAGACAAATTAGGACATTAAGCAATAAAGAATAACGTAAAGCTAATATCATATTTGTGAACGTTGTTGGAAGGGGAAGCTAAGGGAAGGAGAGGACAAAAAGACAAACGCAAAAACCATTGAAGTTAACTCTTCGGCATGTCGGCAAATGTATCCAACCAAACGTGTTTATCATCCTTTGATCCCCAGCCGGGCAGTCGGAAAACACCAACTGACGCCAACTTCGAAGTGAGGGACTTCATTCCGCTCAGCCAAGTCTTTGCTTGGCCTCCCCTCCTATTCTGCCATTCAGACCTCCGGTGGGCAAACAATGCACGTCGCATAAGCCAGTGAGATGGCATGCGCAACATGTGGCCTAGCCATCGGAGCATGGTGCATGATGTAACGGTGCTGAGCGGTTCAGTCGCTCTTCCTGCACCAAATACACGATGCAAAAGACGCTCATTGCTCATGGGGTGCTCCCACCAAACATGAGTTAAGCTGCAAAGACAGCGATGATCGAATGTTAGCTAGCTTCTTTATATCTGTCGACTTGATGGGCTTATTTTTTGAATGGGCACCTAAGAAACACGCACAGCATGTATGGGTAGCGACCGCTATTCATTTCAAAGTAAATCTAAGTCAATTCGGTCACTGAGACTGTGCCAGAAGCAGAGAAATGTTGGGCGTAGGTCGAAATTAGCGCTGCACCTCCCGACCAATTTTGCAATCATCAGCGATGCAACTCGAGTCCGAGACGTTGGCGTTGACAGCCGAAGTTGTTATTTCTAAGTCACTGTGTCGCGAGCAACGCTCGTCACACTGTTGTTCTCGAATTCAGTGGCATGAGCATGCCCTTTTCCCTTAAGATCAATTGATAACTGCAACCAGCTCGACTATCAAGTTATCATCGTAGTTTGCCTCGTAGGTAAATCAGAGAAAGTGAGATGAAGCACCACGAGAATGGTCTGTTGGTTAGAATTACTGCTCAGTTTACAGAAAACAAGACAGCAAAAACAGGATACATAGCCTTACATAAAACTTGTAAATAAGCTAAATGATCCACTAGATCATCCAGGGATCAGAGCGGCCAACTCATGATGAGTAAAAGGGGGTAGCGACAGAACCCCGGTGCGTTGCCTAGGCGTTTCGCCGCCAGGCAACCACCAGCAGTAGTATGAAGGCTACGGGAACTGTGAAGTCGCAAGCACCGATGTACGCTCGAACCGTTGGCAAATGGGTTCATAGCCAGGCGCTGAAACGCCTAAGCTATCGGCTAGCAGTGGCAGCAAAGTGTTACTATGGCTTCAGATCCACTGGAACGAATGCAAAGATAAGTCAACGTCTCCAGTGACCACATGATGAACAACCGTGGCTGAATTGTGAAACTACTTTAGTCATATAACCATCACCCTTCGATACCGTGACGACGAGTTGAGCTGAAACCAATCATATGAACACAATCTGTGGCATACAAACAAAAAGTTGCTATATGTGTCTTACTTCACCCATTGGATACCGGTAGTGATATTTATCAGCATCCCGTCTTGCAAAATCGACCGGGTACTTCTCCTGAATTTCATCGTAGGTCATTCCATCACAGACCCCCTGAAAATAAACGACACACGCAAACATATACGAGTTAGTAACAGGTACAAGGTAATATATGGGAAAAGTGATAAAGCTGGTGCATAATTCGCAGCGGAGTGAGAGAGGAACAGATGGGAGCTTCATGGGGTTCGTCAAGAAAGCGAAGGAAGAATGTGATATTGGCTGAAGGCGAAGATGACGCCAACAACAGGATAAAGCAGTAGGACAGCAGAAACAGAGACATGCCTGCTACCTCAACGGTAGGTTAGGATTACCCGTACACTAAGAGAAAAATCCATAACCAGTCAAAATATGTGCATCATAATCACTTCGTTCATTCAGGCCGACGGCATAATCGTCAATGTTGCCGCTACTAGTCAGAATGCATACGGATTGATAGTTTCAATCCGTCAGCTCAGATCAGCCCAGTCGCGGTCAAAAACAGGAGAAAGAAGAGTATAAAATAGGACAGAGTGAAATAGTATTAACGACAGCAGTAATAATAAATAGCAATGATAAATAAACAGTATACTTCACAACAGTGCAAGAAGGGCGGATAAGTTTTCCGATCAAACAGTACGGTGGGATCGCCGAAAACTGATAACTAGACGGATCATCCATAAACAAGTCGGTTCTAAAAATAATTTCAGATTCATCCATCAGCTGCATGCATACGAAAAGCAGAGAATTTGATATCGCACAGAGCACTGATACCTGATAGATGTCCCAGAGCTGTTATCTCCGAGTAAGAAGAAAAATTTAGCACTGTAGAACTAATGTAAAGAAGAAAACCGTAAAAACAAATATTATTCACTGGTCAGTTTGAAGGGGTTCCAGCTGAGTAACGCGTAATATTCGTCCCTACGGTTTTCTTAATATTCGTACTACAGTACTAAAATTGTCTTCTTTCCGGTGACAACAGCTCTAGAACATCGCACAAGGCACAGTACTCTGTGATAATTTTTGTCACTTTACCAATAGATTGTTGCTGTCCCTGATTTTGGATTATAAACATCACAAAATCGTTAAAACAGTTTTATGATGAAGTTGAATAGGATAATGTCTATAGGGGGATAAGTTAAAAAGTAAAGTGTGAAGAGGATTGGGACTGTACGACTTAAAAATTTAAAATGTGTTTGGTACAGCCTGTTGAACCTAACTCTTGCGACGAGCACTTGTTCTGCCAATTTCATGGAGTAACTCGTGTGTCTGCGGCGTCACCAATAATTCGATCAGTTTGGTACGTTCAATTAAGGGTGAAGAAACGTACTAAATTCCTTGGTGGGTACAAGTTTGCGTATGTCCTTAGGAAGCATACTTCATAATTGGATTTATCGATTGATAAAGAAGCTTACACATACCTTCGATCTTTCCACCGAAACTAAATTCCTGTGATGTCTAGTATTGTAATTTGCCGATCCTTTCAGTCGCACACCTAGTTTGAGGGAGTGCATTTAATTGCTAATGTTCTCAGACAAGAAAGTGATGCTCATTTCATCCGGTGCAGCCAGATCAGATCAAGCTGAAGTGCATACCAACGACCGATGTGCGACATGGCGGTTGTGAACCATACGGGTCTCTTGGTAAATGACCGCTGCACACGTTCTAATGAGACACGTTCACTTTTTCTGCAATTACATCATGCCAGTCAGCTACATTTCAGCAAAGGGCGGGTGAGCATGCTGTAGGTGCATGTATTGGATCGTACAAAGGATGAAAAAGAAATCCAATACTCATTCAGCCTTTGGAAACGGCATGTTCGGTAGATTGAAGTTGGTAAACACGAATGACATAGCATTTGGATAGTGGTTCACTGCTAATGGTTAGCGATGCAGGAACAACTGAGCACCTGTGGCATACCACGCGGCACAGCAACAGCGAACGTTATTTTCCACTGGCAATACGACGATTCGAGGGTACGTTATATATTAAGGATAGTGTCACTGGCGCGGATACGCTCAATGGTGTAAACAATATTGATGTCATCGGTAAACAGATCATTTACTGGAAAGGAATACAGCAAAAATGACACAGATGTGTAAAACGAATGGTAAAGGAAAAGTAATACTACCTTGTAAAACACTACTTGCGAGTGGTTTTGAATTCGAGAGATGAAATGCTGAATTGTGATCACCTGAGTTCGATTGGTGAGATAAGAATGAATCTAAGACAGTAAGGGATAACTAATTACATAGCTTAGACAACCATGCCGCGAAAATAATATTATATGTAATTAGAGTTTGTAGTTTTAAGTATGATGTCTCCCCACCATTTTAGGCAATTATACCTTTCTGGACGGTAATTCTTCATCTCGTGTGCAAATCCGGATTCGCATCAACGGATGAGCATGGCATGCTTCCATTAAGATGGTACGATGTCATGTTTCATGGATAATATGAAGAGATTCATAGGCAGTATGGGTATGTCATCACCTCTCATGGGATGTGATTGATTAATTATCCAGTCTACCCATAACAGGAGGAGTTTATGAACGTAGTATGTTATGATGGTCGAAGTCGACAGGATAGTTTACCAGCGGTAAAGAGGGGAAGGAGTATCCCAGAGGGTTCACTAGCATCGCTGAAGGAGGCGCGGAAATTACTGTTGAAAGCCTCACCGGTGCAAGTAGGATTTCTTATCAAGCGATTGGTGGGTGTCGCAATGGTAAGAATCAAGGGTTATTTGTTTCGATGCTTCATCAACGTGACCAGCTCCCAACACCTATGCTGGTTGCTGTGCGTGTACTTTTTCGCATAATATGATGATTCAATTCGAGTTCGGCAGTATGTTTTAGCCCTAGCATTGTAAAGTAAAATCATTTTGTTTTTAGATACAGTTTGCAAAGCTGAATCAATTTCTGAGTTGACCTGAAAAGAAGAGATGATGATGTCGATTTTTAGTGATTACTATGGCGCCTTCGAGGATCAAAGTTGTTTAGCCGGTGCCTGGTTTTATAAAACGCATCAGTAGCCAAATGCGAGTCTGTTGTAAAAAAATACCTGCCCTATTGAAAACAACTGAGAAGGACATCAAATGACGCATAATTCAGAAATTTTGGCAAATGTGTGGATAAACGAGAACAAGACGATTTTTTGGTCACCGTCTGTATAGTTGCCGATGTCTGTAATGTAAGCAAAATACAGGCCTGTAATTAGGAACAGATCCAGAATATAATTGTTCCTTACGAGAGGATGCACATGCTGAGTCCATCCAACCGACTGTAAGGAACATAGCAGTTTTAAATACTTTGTACGTTCAGTATAACATGCTCACGGAACACCAGGCATGTTGAAAGCCCCTCCGACTATGCTGATGTTGGTGGGCTGTTGCGCTAAGTGATGAAAAATGTCGAATAAAAAATTTATTTTAGCTCCATCGAGCTTCAGTAGGGTGTATATGAAATAAAAAAGTGTCCGGATGTTTTTTACGTTTATTAAACCGGGTCAAACACTAGCCTTTAAAAACGAAGTGCTAAGCAGTAATGTATGAAAGTGTTCGTAAACATAGGTATTGCATCCAATGCCGTGCCCAGAACGTGTCGACACGGAAGCTCATCTGTGGAATATCATCAGTTACTAAGACATAAGTTCAGAAAGTAGTGTCAGGGAGCGAAAAGTATCTTGTGAAGATTCGTCGCAGTTAGACCCAAGCAAACAGCCACCACACATTCAAGAAAGCGCTGGACGGCTATTTCGTCCTATTGGGACTAGTCAGCAGCGCGCGCCCTCCGAATCCTACCGGATTTGAACCCACGACCTTACACTTGCGAGCCATCAACTTATGCTGCTGAGCCATGGGCGACAGCATCGAACCGCCTTAGTCAAACTGTGACGAATCTTCCGAAAATACCCAATGAATCCCCTACTAGTTACAAAGCATGCATCTTGTTCATTAGCGAGCGTGTGACAATAAAAACGCATTCACAAGGTGAGATAAGGTTAACAACAGTTATAATGAGCTAGGACTATTTGTTGGAGAAAATTCGATAGGTAGGGGGGCGGAGGAAAATGAAATGTTGCGAGTCCTCGCAAGATTGCTGAAAATAGAGCTACATAACAGAAATCAACAGAAATCAGTGAAATATATTACGAAACATCCGAAACTACATCAAGTGCAGCAAGAAGTATGTCCAGAGGCAACATGTTTATTGCAGCCAGATTAATAAAAGTGAGGCTGTGACACAACTGTGAGGGAGGTTGTGTTAAGTACTTGGGTTTGCAATGATGTATTGAAAGAATGGCTCTGCACAAGTTCGTGATGCTTTGTGTAAAGAGGAAAGTACGTCATGGCGGAGGTATGAATAAGAAGAACATTATTCCGAAACAATATCTGGGTTTAAGGAATTAGGAGAAATTTCATGACAAAAAGTCATTTGGGGTGGGTGGCATTCGAACTCGTTATACGAGTAGATAAGCAAAACTGGCCAGAAGTTGCAGATGCACAAGGGGTGCCAAAAAACAAAGAAATGGCTGCTTCGACAGTTGTCCTTGAAAGTACGTCACTACTTTAGTGTTCTTATATAACAGCTCAGTTACATTTGAATACGATCGTAACCGAGATGATTGAGTATCGAAAAAATGTGCTAAGGTATTCCTCTAACGAAATCGTGCTTACTGCGTTGTGTTAATAAAATGGATTTATAGAAAAAACGTAGTTGATCGATGACGGATTGTATTGAATCTAGTTCGGAAAGCTTATGGCTTTCACCAGGCGTTGTTGTATACCAACAACGAGGAAGAGAGTATACTGAATACTGAGTACTGGTTCGAAGCAGCGAGTAGAGCTTTCTCTGTGTAGCTGCATCGTTTGTCGCTTTTGGACATATACTCCTTATTTATCGTTCCGCTCTCTATATTTTGCCTCTGCAAAGTGTTTGTCTAGGAGCTTCTTAAATTTCGACACTGAGTTCGCCTGTACTATGTGCTGCGGCAGGTCGTTCCAGACATTCACCACTCTGCGTTCGAAACAGAGTCGGTGAGCGACCCGCTTCAACTTCGGTACGATAAGTTTATACCGGT